GATGCACAGTGAGGGTTTTCATGTTCTCTGCTTCACCTTTTGATATCCGATGCCTGAAAGCTCCACCTTTGGATCATGCTAATGCCGCCATTTTTTTTACACGTGACTCATGAAGGGACGCGAACCTTAATTGCGTGTATGCATGCTTCTCCTTTCATAAATATTCATGACTCCTCCTATAGCTTATTAAATATGTGTATTTGGCTACCCTGTTCAGCATAAATTCCTATTTCCTTCGCTCCTCCCTCAAAGTGTCTGTTTCTGGCTTCTGGGTAGAGGCTATCTAGCCTATCAGAATGGCCATCCGGCAGGCTGCAACCCTTTATGAGAAATAACGCTTCTCTTTCCAGATTTATGAACCTCATCATTTTTCAGATGACAATCCAAAATTTGAGTTTTGGACTGCTAGTTTGGGGCTACTTGTTTCTTTTGAACCAGGAGGTCACAGTTTCAGCTACGTTGCAGGGTAGTGCACTTGCCCTCCTTTTAACAGAAGGACTTGGATATTCCATTTAGCTGGAAATGAAAAGAGAAACGTGTATGACTCCTCTACTTGATAGGACATATTTACTAATGAAAACAATTAGAAATATAAGACCAAAAGGATCAGGGTCAAGGGAAGACTTTTCTAAACTCATGCCTCTGTCAGAAATATTTGAGAGGGGTAAACCTTACTTTCAGTCTCCAAAACTTAGTGAGTACTTACTGCATGCCATACCATTGTGCTGTTCTGAGCAGTTGGGGGAAAGCGATGACAAGACAGAAGAGATTCCTACCCTGACAGAGCTTATATTCTTGTGATGAGAGAAAGACATAGTCAGAAAATTAATCAGATAATTTCAGGTAGTGATAAATGTTGTGAGGTACCTGAGTAATAGCTAGAATACCCTGCTGCTTTACAAAGGGTTAGGGAATACCTACTGCTTTACCAGACCCTTGTTGGGAAAGTATAGATTCAGTCAGTATTTCTAACAATCAGTTAGTGACCCAGCCCTTTCCACCAAAAATCAGAGAGACATAGATTAGAAGGAAGGAACTATGGCTGGGCGCAGTGGCTCACGTCTACAATCCCAGCACTTTGGGAAGCCGACGCGGGTGGATCACTTGAGGTCGAGAATTTGAGACCAGCCTGGACAACATGGTGAAACCCCATCTCTACTAAAAATACAAAAATTAGCTGGGCGTGTTGGCACACACCTGTAATCCCAGCTACTCAGGAGGCTGAGGCAGGAGAATTACTTGAACATGGGAGGTGGAGGTTGCAGTGGGCTGAGATCACACCACTGCACTCCAGCCTGGGTGACAAAGAAAGGCTCTGTCTAAAAAAAAAAAGAAGGAACTATGTTGTGGTCAATGTTTTGGTAGTGCCTGTTATAGTATATCTTGAGAAATAAAATTCCCAACCCTTGGTAAAGTGTCAGTTACCCTTTACCAAAGGTTAGGGAAGGCCTCTGTGAGGAGGTGATATTTGAGCCAAATCCCTAATGACATGAAGAAATTTTCCATGAAAAAATTTGGGAATCTTGAAGACTAAAAATCTGTGAGGTAAAGTGAATCTTGAAGAGTGCTGTCCTATTTTGAGAGGTGGGGGACTCAAAGGAGACAGGGGTGCTCTGAGATTAGGTGAAGGCTTCTGGCCATGCCAGCAACTAGTTGCTTATGGCCTGAGGAACCTGCTTTCCTAATGTATAAAATGACAAAGTTGGACCAGGCACCTTCAGACTCTCTTTTGTCTCTTGTACTTTGAATGTATTTGATATTTATGGGCATTTTTCTTTATTTTTATAATTTAGGAGGGTACAAGTGTAGTTTTCTTACATGGATATATTGTGTAGTGGTGAAGTCTAGAGTAATCACCTGATTTATTAGCATTTAATGGAGGATTAATAGTTGGTAAAATGCATCATTTTTGTAACCAAATATATGTCAAAGGGCAAAATTTACTCAGTGACACTTATTTTTAAAATGAGATTTATCTAAGAGTTAGTAATCTGTTATACTTGTCTAAAAACAGTGGAAACTGTATTGGTTAATTCAGTGTGCTAATATAGTTTTAATAATGAAAGGACATCTTAACTCACCCCTAACCTTTCAACAATAATGAGAAATAAGCTATAAGTTATGCCAACTTCTATGATGGTTCCCATGAAATAGCCCTAACTTAGACAACTCGTTTAGGCTTTGCAGATGCAAACTGTGATAGATCTTCCTTCTCTTTCATTCTTGGTGATTTATGTGTCAGGTATATTGTTGTGTTTTCTATAAAAAGAAAAAAAATTAAAACATAGTTGGAAGCCAAAGTCGATTTAACCTGGATAGATACAGCTTTCTGGTTGTAGAGGAAATGCTAAAAATCTTACTGTGACAGTGTATTGCTTTCTTGGAAGACTTGATAATTGTTACTTAGTTTAGTTTTGATTTATATTTAGTTTTGCTCAAAGGAGGGATTTGAAAAGCTTTATGAAATATAGACATATACTTTCATTTTTATCAATTAATGAAATTACATAGTTGTAATTTCTTGAATTTATTACATATTCAATAAATACTTGCTAAACTAAACATCTGTTGTGTTGCAAGTGCTAGGGATGCAGTTACCAATCACAGTCCAGTGGATGTAAGTAGTAACTACGTTAGCTCAGAGAAAAATTTCAGAAGAAATGGAGCCAACAGTTCCTAAAATGAAGTTTGCATTCTGTCAGCAAAAGGTTAGCAGATGGGTTTGCCACTTTAAAGAGCTTTGAAATAGCTTTATTACTTCATATCCTTAGCATGGAGAGATGCATGCTTTTTTTGTAAATGCTAATTGTTTTAAAAGTTGAAAAGAAAATCTTTGGAAAACTCAAAAATCTTCCTTGAAATAATTTTACTCAGATCATTGGCCTCTCCCTGTCTTAAAAATCATTCTTGCTAGATTCAATCTTGAAAGTAAGTTGGAGGTGGGAAGGGGAGGATGGGAGAATGCATATCATTGAACACATGTGTTCCAGAAAACTGGAGCTATGGAAAATTTCTACCTGATGTGCTGTCATTGTGTTTTGTGGAATTGGCAGAAGCTGTATCGGCAGTCACTCATTCAGTGCCTATTGTTTCAGTAATGCTGCCTAAAAGGAAAATTTTAAGAAAATGTCTGATGAAAGACTGATATAATAACTTTACCCTGGGAGCCTGAGGGAATTACTAGATGATTTTAATGAGGGGTGTGGTTAACTTTCATTTTGAAAATTTCACTCTGACCTTGGTATAAATTAGGAAGGGGCAAGAATGGCAGCAGAAATAACAGTGGAGGTGTATTAATAGTTTAGGGAAAAGGAAATGAAGACTGAAATTAAGAGGAAGGTGTAGATTTGAAAATCTTTCCTATATGGACTGAACAGACATCTAGAAATATTTTGCTTTTACTGAGGTGTTTTTTGTTTGCCTCCATTTAGAAAAGACAGTTTGATTAGAAGGCATACTATATAGATTGACAGAAGTGACTGAAAAAGCCCACTCTGTCTGCTCTGTTTTCAGAGAATTGACTTTTGAAATGTCTAGATAAATCATTTAAATCATTTTAGAAAACAGCTTTGGTTCTGAGACATGAAATCTCTTGAACAATGAAAATGGCATTTTTGTAACAGGATTTGACATTAACAGGTAAAGGATGTATTAAAGTATTCAAGTGTTTTGTTTATAGAATTTGATAACCTTGATAACATCTTTCATGTTTCAAAATACAAGACTTAGCATTTCTCAGGGATACTGAAAGTGTATTGATTGTGCTAAAATTGCAGCAGATTAATTGTCTCACTTTATCGTATTTTAAATTAGTAACTTTGTCAATGTGTTGACTCTTGTACAAAATTGGGGAAAGCTTCTCCATTATCATTAGAAATTGTTTAATAAAAGTGATTTCATATATGGCACTTTGGTCAACTTTTTTTCAAAAAAAGTTATATTTTTAGATGATATTTTTATTTTTATTTGCATAATATAATTAGATTTGATGAATTAAATGTCTGTTTTCCATTTTTAGGAAATTGTAATTAATGTATTAAAAAAATTAAAAAGAAGGATACACTATATAAACCCAAAGGGTATCTTTCAGTTTGTTGCTTGCCTTAAGGTTCTTTTTTGTGAATTGTTAAATGATTGATTAGTAAAATATGAGAACCATTTTGATCATAATTGAATCCTGAAGAGATTTATCTTTTATTTTTGTTTTGATGTTTTATTAAGTTTACCTCAAACTGTCAGATTACTTTGAATGGATGTCTTTAATTTCCTTGTGTCAAATTCTTATAAAAAGGCATTCTCTTAAGAACATAGAAGAAAATAGAGATATATAGATATATAATTAATATTGTTGTAATAAAATAGATCAGAAATTCACATTTGTTGATATGCTGTCAAGTTGGTACACAGTATTGGCTCTGACTTCTTATTTCCTAGCTCAATTTGAGGTCATATTTTAATATTAAATACTTTGAGTTGCTTCTGTATACTTAAAAGATATTCTTGGTTCCTTATAGTCATGCAGCTGACAGAATGAAGTACATACACTTCTATATGTAACCAGTTTCACAGTGGCATAGCTATAAATCAGAATTTCTCTTCCCAATTTCTTCATCATCTTAGGACTCAGTGCTACAAGATTGGTTGTTATACAATTTTATATTTAGAAGTTTTTACATTTTTATTTACAAAGATAATAGTCTTATAAATGAATGCTTTTTCATGAACTCAGGACACTCCCTTTTACTCTCTGTTTTGCTCACCTTTTTCTTTACTTTTAAACTTAGTGACATATCCTGTGTCCTTAGAACCATGTAGCTAACTTTGATCACATAATGTGTCAGGTTTTTATATAATTTCTTGATTTGAGAAAAGAGAAATATAACCTTATGTTTTTAAGTATTGCCTCCCTATCTGCTTTTCAACTCGTTTTACATTTAGTATTCAAATATGTTCAGTGTTCAGCCTTTGCTGTTTTTACTAATTTTCTTCCCTGCTTTCAGTTAACAGCCAGGTCCTTGCCTGCTGTGCAGTCTGATGAAAGACTTCAGCCGCTGCTCAACCACCTCAGGTAATATAAAGGCACAGCCTTGTTATGCGTATAAATCCAAGTGCAGTAAAGTGAATAAAGTGTATTAAAGTGTATTAAAGTGGTGAAACCCCTTCGATTACTAAAAACTTATTTTTTTTCTTGCTTTCATTCCATTATTCCAATTGAAGTTCTTAATACCATGTACTTGTTACCCTTGACTTTAGGGCACTGTAGATAGCTCTTTTAATTCAACAACAGTGTGTAGAACTGCTTGATAAGTTTAAGTTAAATGAGTAGAGATAACTAACATTACAGAAAGATCTCGAATGAGCTATTTTTGTAAGTACAAGGTTAAGGCATACTTTTATTGAGGATAGATGAGATGGATGGAGTTCATTTCTAAATACAAAAATTATATAGTCTCATTATTTAAAAAATAAAGTTAGAAAATACAAGAAAGGAAAAGGAAAAAACTATCATTACTGCTCAGAAATAATATTTATCCTATGTTTTTATTTTAATTTTAATTTTTTTAATTTTAATTTTTTGAGATGGAATCTTGTTCTGTTGCCCAGACTCGAGAGCAGTGATGCGATCTCCGCTCACTGCAACCTCCGCCTTCTGAGTTCAAGCAATTTTTGTGCCTCAGCTTCCCGAGTAGCTAGGATTACAGGTACGGGGCACCTCGCCTGGTTAATTTTTGTATTTTTAGTAGAGAGAGAGTTTCGCCATATTGGCCAGACTGGTCTTGAACTCCTGACCTCAGGTGATCCACCTGCCTCAGCCTCCCAAGGTGCTGGGATTACAGGGGTAAGCCACCATACCCTGCCTTTCTATGTTTTTGTTATTTTTGTTGTTGTTTTTTACTTAGTGTTGAAATTATCGTTTATGTGACAATTTTTTCCATTTTTATAAACATTGTAATATTTTTTACCTTAGTATTAAAATCTTTCTAAAAACATTGTTGTTAGTGACTACATTGTATTTTCTTGTATATCTGTACTGTAGCATATTTATCTCCTTTTGGGAAACTTTAGACCATTTCTAGTTTTTTTTTCTAACTGTAAAACAATGCTATATGTTAACCTTTATCTGTATTTTAGATCATTTTCTTAGGGTAGGTTTTCAGAATTGAAATTACTTTGTCAAAGGGTGTGAACCATTTTAAAGATTTAAGTATGTATGTATATTTCTTTTTCAAGATCCTATTCTACCTATACACTCATATTTGTATAAGACTGCCATGTTACTATACTCTGAACAAGATAGGGCAGTCAAAACAGTTGCTAATGGGTTAGACATAGAGATACTATTGTGATCCTGTGCATTTTGTTGGTAATAATAATTCATTTTCCTTATTTTGAGGTGGGATTGACTACCTGTATTCTTTGCTCACTTATTGATAGCATCTCCTGATCTTGTTTGCTCTTAGATACTTTAAAGGGTAGTAACTCTTTGTTGTATTTGTTACATACTTTTTTTCTAAAATTCTAAAATTGTATTAGTCAACATACCTACATTTTCAAGTTTTATATAGTCAAGCACCAATAGTGTTTTCCTTTATGGTTTTGAAAAATTCTTTTTAAACTTCTCTTTCAGAAGTGTGGATAGATTTTACTTTCTGGTATCTTTTAGTTTTCTTTATTTTTCCTTTATTTCTTCCTCCCCTCTCCCCTTTCCTTGCCTTTTCTTCCTGCTCTCCAGTAACTGTTCCTTCCCAGACAGCTTTATAACCTTTGTATAATTGTTTTGTTGGGTTAGGAAGAAGGGAGGGTTGATCAAATCTAATATTTCAGCAGGGACTGAATAGCATACATTTTCATATATAACAACATTTATATATGATTGTTAAATTTACTAGAGCTCTGTGTCAGTGAGTTAAGAATCTCAGAAATTGATTTTGAGTATCTTGCTTAATGCCCACCTGCCGCATTCAACTCTGTTGGCAGTTTTGTTTCTTGAGTATATCTCTTGCTATCATAGCCTCTTGTCTGTTTGCTTTGCCCTTTCTAATATATTTTACATCATTGCTATATGTGTTTATATTATTCCTTGGCTTAAGACCCATCTCTGCCTCTCCAATTTCATTCTGGAGTAAGCCAGAACTTCTTAGCCTGGCATAAGAGGTCCTTCTGGAAGAGGCCTGGGCTGTCTGTCTCTTTGGACTCCTGTTTTAACACTGAGATCCTAATTTCACCAAATGCCATGAAGTTCCTTTAACACAACATGCTTTTTGCTCACTCACCTCTGTGACCTTCCGAATATTTTTCCTTCTGCCACTTCTATTTATGTAAATTTATAGATATATACTATATATATAATTTTAAACATTTTAAATGTATTTAATATAATTTTAAGGTATTTTAAATGTATTTAATACAATTTTAAAATATTTTAAATATATATAATATATATTTTATTTATATTTAAAGTATATTGTAGATGTATATAAATACGCAAATCTATATATATTCTCCCCATGCTCCGCTTTTACAATAACTTTTGCTTGTCTTTTAAGACTCACCTCAAGCATTACCTCTTCTGATAAGTTTTCCCTGACCATTAATTAGTTCACCTCCGTAGTCTGAATTGGAAGTCTTTTATAGATGTTTTCATAATATCCCATGCCTTCCTCTGTATTACAGAATTTGTGGTATTGTTATTGTTTGTTTACTGTTTGATTTCTCCATTATAGTATGTTTGAAAGCTTGTAAAGTGATGTTCATATTTGTGTTTTCAGTAGCTGAGACAGTATCTGGTGTATGATAGGTATTATATGTTTTGTTGAATGAATGAATGCAAGTTATATTAGTGAAATTTTGTTGTTTTTTTCTGCATAAAGTTTTTATAATTTATAAATCATACTGTCATATTTTTTTTCCTAGAAAACCACTGGTTCAAAAGGTAAAAACCTAAAGGGTAGAATCTTGCTTCTAGTTAATCTCACAGTTGATTCTGAGAGATGATGATGGATTCTCCTTCCTCCATCTGAGTATGGTAATTGCCAACTAGAATTTAGATTAACTACTGACACATCTCTTCGAGTCCTTGAAAGTTGCACAAACTGTACATTCATTTAAGGGCTTTTATTCTCTGTGGAGTTCACTCATGACTGGTTGCTAGGCAACCAGGACTAGATGCTACATGTAATATGTACCCACTGATGTTGCTTTTTTATTATTATTAAACCAAATGGTTTCTCATTTTATTGCCATGTCAGAGACATCTATATGTCGGGTGGCAGCTGATGTGCATAGTGTGACACTTCCTGTTCCACAAAGTAACCTTGTGATAAGCCTTTCAAGAATATTAAATTGTTGCTTTTGCTTGTCTAAATGTAATGTTTTTGTTTTATCTTCCTTTTGCCTAGTTCTAAACAGGAAATAATAATATTTGGTTTGAGAGATTGTAATAATAATTTTGTTAGAAAAAAATTGATTTGCATGAACGGTGTAATTTAAATGTTACATAGAGGTGGATGGACATTAGGAGGTTGATACTGAGATCATTATTAGGTCTGATTTTGTTTATTGCCTCTGATGAGAAAAGGGGAATGATGAATAGCATTTTAATGAAATTTGTCAATAAAACTAATTTGGGAGATAATACAAAATACCTGTAAAAATTGAAGTAGCAATACAGAGATTCTCAAATCATTTTACAGGATTTAGAGACTCAAAGAGAATTAGGGTAACACCGCCAATCAAATAATCTAAAATATTGCTTAACAATATATATTATTTTGAGACTGCAGAAGTGATATGTCCAAACTTTTTTAGTTGAATCCAATTCTCAAGTACAGAAAAACATCGTGCTTCAATATCTTATGGCAGTACAACTGTGTTTTTAATTCATTAGTATCATCCATTCACTCATTAGTTACTTAGTGCCTATTATGTGCTTAGAATTAAAAGAAAACACACTATCTCTGTTTTCAGGGAGTTAGGTTTGGTTTCATTTGAGAGATAGGCACTTGAACAAGTTATAAAATTTGTAACATTTTCTATCAGAATTAAATACAATGTACATAATTTTATTAATTGAACTGTCTCCCTCGTGGAATTATCTCCTTAGTTAATCAGGCCATGACTTAATTGTTTTGGTTTCCGTGCATTCTAGCACAGTAGTGGCTCGCAGTGGGAGCTCAGATTGGACTGAAATTTATTGTTTTTTTGTTGTTGTTTTATTCTTATCAGTCAGCTTTCTCAGGCTGACTGGACTGAACTATAATCTCACTTGAGGGATAATGTTGTCATTAACTAAGGAGAATAAAGAAAGGAAGACAAGGCAATTAGGGAATGAATATGATTGCTTAGATGGTAATTTCAGTAGTTTCAGACATTTTAAGCTTGAGATACCTGTGGGGATGTATGTGGGGGATGTTTAGTAAGTAGTTGAATGTAGACCCACAGTTGAAGAGTGAGGTTTACATCAGGGAGACATTTTCTAGTCATCACTGTGCAGGTCTTGGTTAAAATAAAGGGAATGGTTGAGATAACTCAGGAAGAGAGTATAGAGAGACAAGAAAAGAGTGAAGGGTTCTGAATTGAACCCACCGAATATCAGTGTTTAAATGACTTGTGATGGGCAGTGCGGGAGTTGGGATATGAGAAACCAGTAAAAATACCAGGGAGGAGCCTTGAACAAAAAAGGATAGTGGGATGATGGGTGCTTGATGGTATGGATACAAGTCCAAGTCTTATGAGGATTTGAGGAATAAATAAGAAATGAAGCTGTGGAGATATAGGGAGTAGGCTACTCTTGGTAGATCTTAATTCTGAGCACATGTAAGGAAAAAGGACTGCATTGGTGAGCTTCATGGTTGAAGAAAGTGTTTTAATTTTTCCTTAAGATTGGTAAGATGAGCATATTTACAGGTTAAGGCAGAAATGAGTAGTATGGGAGTAAGAGGGAATAATTGAAGGGGCAGTGTTTTAGAAGGGAGAAGGGGACAGGCCATAAAGTCAAACTGACTGGAGTTTAAAAAAGTATTTTCCAACCTAGCTTTTTGGTGCATACTCAGAACAATCCAGTGTGGA